ATGCTCGCTAAAACCCGCACCAGACCCCAACTCCCTATCTAACTTCCCCCTATCCCACGACCCATCCGACCAGAGGTCGCTCACAAGCAGGTAGGGGGAATGCGACACCGGTCTATCCCTAGACAAAGGCCTATCACCTAACCACCACTCATCCCAGAAACTGACCTCACCACTCATCTCTAGTTGCTAGGTTAGTTCTATGTAGTTGTTAGGTTAGTTCTCTGTAGTTGCTAGGTTAGTTGTCTGTAGTTGCTAGGTTAGTTATCTGTAGTTGCTAGTTTTTATATATATATATATACAAACAACGCCCCGTAGGGCGGGGGATTGGGCTGGATCCCCAACCTGTATATAGATCAGGACCCCAATACGGCCCAAAATATCAACTACAGATTACATAGTCTCACAGAAAAAAAAAGAACCAAAACAGAAAAATTAAATAGTACAAGATCTGTCATCAGGCTAACAGGTGCCCGGAATAAATGTATGATCAAATGAGAACAAAGTCTAGTCTACTAAAAGCGGAAAGATGGATAACCAAGCTGATCCATCCGTACCAGTGTGCGAAGGCGGAGTGGAGCAGTGTCGGTCTGGAACGTGTGAAGGTCAGGTGTGGCTGGCAAGGTAGTCAGCAGGTCTGTTCCCCTTACGGAAAATGTGCGTAATCCTGTGATGGACAGACCACAGAAGAGCTCTAATGCGCATAAACGGGTGTTGAATCTGCCACGAGCTCCGGTGGCCCGATGTCAGGATGGTGACGACCGCCGCAGCGTCCAGCTCGATCCAAATATGACTAGAGAGGTGGGCAGCAATTTGAAGGTTAATCTGTAGTGCCTGAATCTCTGCGTCGTAGCTCGAGGAGGCCTGAACGGACGTGTGGAAGGCGGTGATAAGGGCGCCACTGTGGTCCCAGATCAAACCTCCTCCTCCGGTAACTCCGGTCTGGCGATCGAAAGAGCCATCAGTGTTAAACTTAAACCAAGGAGAATCGGGTCGAAGCCAAACAACGGCTCTGGGCAGAGGGGGGCGAACAGGCGCAGGGAGGGCCACCATGTAGCGGTGTTCTGTAGTTGCTAGGTTAGTTGTAGTTGCCACCCAAGGAGAATCTGTAGTTGCTAGGTTAGTTGTCTGTAGTTGCTAGGTTAGTTCTTTGTAGTTGCAATGTTAGTTCTCTATAGTTGCTAGGTTATTAGTTGCTAGGTTTTTTTTCAAACAACGCCCCGAAGAGGCGGTGGATTGGGCTGGATCCCCAACCTATACATATATCAAGACCCCAAATCGGGCCCAAAATATCAACCAACTACAGTCTACAGAGTCTCACAATAAAAAAAAGAAAAACAAAAAAAGAAAAAATACAAGGTCTGTCTTCGGGCTAACAGGTGCCCGAAATAAATGTCTGATCTAATGAGAGTAGAAAATCTAATCTACTGAAAGCAGAACGATGGGTATCTAAGTTGGTCCATCCGTACAAGCGTGCGAAGGCGGAGTGGAGCAGTGTCGGTCTGAAACGTATGTAGGTCTGGTATGGTAGAGCCAAGGCTGGCATGGTAGTCAGTAGGTCTGTTCCCATTATTATTTACTAGGTTAGTTCTCTCTAGTTGCTATTTTTTTTTTTTTTCAAACAACGCCCCGAAGAGACGGGGGATTGGGCTGGATCCCCAACTTGTATATAGATCAAGACCCCAAAACAGGCCGAAAATATCAACCAACTACAGTCTATAACATCTCACAGTCAAAACAGAAAAGAAATAATAAACAGAAAATAAAACAAGGTCTGTCTTTGGGCTAACAGATGCCCGGAATAATACAAGGCCTGTCATCGGGCTAACAAGTGCCCGGAATATATGTCTGATCTAAAAAAAGTAAAAATATAATCTACTGAAAAGGTAAACATGGGTACCAAAGTTGGCCCATCCGAATAAGTGTGCGAAGGCGGAGTGGAGCAGTGTCGGTCTGAAACGTATGTAAGTTTGGAATGGTAGCGCCAAGGCTGGCAAGGTAGTCTGCAGGTCTGTTTCCCTCACGGAAAATATGCGTAATCCTGTGATGGACAGACCAGAGTATAGCTCTAATGCGCATAAGCGGGTACTGAATCTACCACGAGCCCTGGTGACCCGAGGTCAGGAGGGTGGCGACAGCCGCAGCGTCCAGCTCGATCCAAATATGACTAGAGAGGTGGGCAGAAATCTGAAGGCCAATCTGTAAATCATGAATCTCTGTGTCGTAGCTCGAGGAAGCCTGAAGGGACGCCTGGAAGGCGGTGATAAGGGCTCCACTGTGGTCCCGGATCAAACCTCCTCCTCTGCCAGCTCCGGTATGACGATCAAAGGAACCATCAAGGTTCAGCTTGACCCAAGGAGAATCGGGCCGAAGCCAAACAACTGCTCTGGGCCGAGGGGGCCGTACAGGTGGAGGGGGAGCCACCATGTAACGGTGTGGTGGCGTGCAGCCTGTCCAGTCTCGGGTAAAGAGCCTGCCCAATGCTGTGAGGAGTGAAAGATGTCTCTCAACCTGCAAAACAATGTGAGAAAGCAAAAAAGTAATATCCCTATGCTTCGCACTCTTCATTTCCGTCCAGATAAAACAAAGGATCAGACAAGGAATGAGGAAGCCCACGTGTCTAAAGTGTGTGCTATGTGAGAAGAAACTCAGGAGCTCAAAGACACTGTCTATGGAGGATAGAGATATATGGGTCCAAGTAGCAAAGTGCTCCCACACTCTCCTCACAATCTCACTCTCTAGAAAAAGATGGGTAAATGTCTCGGTCTCATGACATCTGGTCTCAGAACAACACACACACCGGGAGGGGAAGGAGATCCCCCTCGCATGTAATACATTGTCCACGGGTATCTTGTGCAGGAGGAGGCGCCAAAGGAATACAGAAATGGTAGGGGTGAAAAGGTCGCTCCATATGGCTCTGAAGAGAAGATTAGGCCGATCTCTCAGCCTGATCTGCTCCCAAGCCGAGGTAGTAGAAAACACACCCGATGATGTAAGTCTCCACCTCATGCCATCCGAACCATCCCCCGAGATGGGTATCTGTTGGATCTGATCCAATAAATGCTCGCTAAAACCCGCCCCGGAGCCCAACTCACTATCAAGCTTCCCCCTATCCCACGACCCGTTCGTCCAAAGGTCGCTCACAAGCAGGTAGGGGGAATGCGACACCTGTCTATCTGTAGACAACGACCTATCACCTTACCACCACTCATCTCAGAAACTAACCTCGTCATCACCCAAAACCCAAAAGATGTGTTCCTGGGCGCACCTACCGACCCTAGTAAGGCGCCGCCACTGTCTGCTATCATGGTCAACCGCCGTCACCCAACAAGGGTGGTCGGCGCGTCTAGAACAGTACTTGCCTTGAAGGTACTAGGCCCAAAGAGACTTTCCTTGCCTGAAGCACCACCACAACTTCTCTCTAGTTGATAGGTTAGTTCTATGTAGTTGGTAGTTTTTTTTTAAAAAAAAAAAACAACGCCCTAAAGGGCGGGGGATTGGGCTGGATCCCCAACTTGTACATAGATCATGACCCTAAAAACGAGCCCCACATATCAACCAACTACAATCAACCGATTCTCACAGTCAAAACAGAAAAGAAAAACAGAAAAAGAAAACCAGAAAAAGAAAAAGAAAAAATAAAAAATACAAGGTCTGTCTTCGGGCTAACAGGTG